TGCAATCAGTCGACCTTATCGCCTGAAGAAGACTAGCAGTAAGCAGTCGAAACGTCGCGATCTACATCTCAAGTGACTACATCATGAGACAAACAATAATACACTTTATTAAAACAGCATATGTTGCACGAATAAGGGATAGATTGAAAAAAATAACTAACTAGCAGGAAATGAACCACATAGAGCTGAAATCAAAAAATAAATGACATTAAAAATTAGCCGGGCAGTTTGCAATAACCATTCTTTTCCCATGCTTTTTTTGCAGATACCTTTGTATGATCACTTTTTACATCCATTCCAGATGTCCCCAAACTGTCGCCATACATTGCCATCAATTCCACTGGTTCCTGTTGAAAGTTACATAAATTTATACATAGCATTTCAACCTGAATATTTTGCAATTTCTTGTTACTCAGAGATTTGAGGAGACAATGCAGAATAACAATCTTCATATCACTTTTGTGCAAGTCCTATTTTTGCTATTAATCTTTACCCCTAAAACAGAGTGAGGTAATTGCTTAGTTGAAACCTTGCAAGTAAACTTTAAAAACAGCAAATCATTATCAAGAGCTGTGACAAGCAAATCTAATCTGAAAGTCACTAAGGCTACATCCACTGGTCTCTTAATTTATTGTAAAGCCATCAAGCAGCTAGTCATCAAATTTCCAGATGCTTTCATACCTTTAAGTCCATAAGTCTTGTCTTGGCCAAAGACACATAGTCAGTAACATGTTCACGCAGCTTGCTAGGCACTTGAGGGGCCTTGATGATATGAACCTGAGATTGGACAGATGAAATGGAACAAAACAAGAAAACTGAGGTCTGGATGCAAACAAATTTCGTAGATTCAAATAACACAGAGACAATAACATCAACCTTTCCTTTTTGGACAAAGCTATTTTCAAAGACCTCAGGAATAACACACTACATGTGATCAATGTTTTTTGACCTGTCAACTTTGATAATAAAAAGCTTTGAATGCCTATTGTGATTCATTTCCTTACATTAACAATCATTTCTTTATCTACTTGTTGTTAAAAATAGCACGAAGAAAAATTGTTGCCACCAAAATGTGCTAACAGTTACCTTCAAATACTCAGCTGGTTCATATGGCACAATGTCAGAGAGAAACTTCACAAAAAGCTGCACACTCCTTTTGTTGTTTAATTTTGTACTCCCTTGGTCACCAAACATATTCTGCAACCAACAAACAGGGCAGATTTTGCGATGACTGTAAGGAACTAAACTAACTAAGATAAAAAATGTATCCCCTTCTTGCCTGTTACTACAAATTAGACAAGCTCTGATACTCCAGACAAAGCAGTGAAACTGCCTACAGCCTTATACATGTATATCTAACCTAATCTAAAGCAAGGAAAAATACTATACACAGTGATCCCATTTGGACCATGCAATGCTCCGACTACCTTTTGGCACTTGCCNCTGTTTGATCTAGAATCTAGATTTTTGAAATAATTAGTGCCATCAGACAGCAATGTTACTATTCAAATGTCGTAACTAAACTAAAGAGATGAATATCAACTATTTCAGTTAGCAAGTCTCTGCAAAACAACCTTCAATTTATTTAGGACATTAAACAGTTTTGTTTCAGAGAGGACTTACTTGATTAATACATCAATGAGCTGGGCCCTTACATCTGGTTCTTCTGGGACCTAACACATGATGAAAAGATAATTTTACTGTTGGGTGAAGCTTGCATAATGCTTGCATAATAAATTTTTAGTTTAAGCTTTACGTTTTTTAAAGATGAACTTCACACTAGCTATATGGTCACGTTTAAAGCTTTCTTAATTTAAGTTCCTAATATGCCAATTTTACACCAGGTTTACGTCTACTTTACCCACGGCAGCGTAATTGTTGGCTTTAACACCTTAAACGACAAGTAAGGTACAACGTATAGTTGGATGACCAACTTTGAGGAGATTTAAGACAACTTTAATTTTCTGCAAATCTCTATTTTCATGTTGTGATAAAATAGCCAAATATGTTAGATAAAACTTATGAGAGTCCAAGTTTATAAAAGTTTGCCACAGACAGAGAACACATCCCAACAGTGACCACTTCAAATTCTAACAGGTTAGAATTTGCATCATTTTACCTCTCACTCTGACGTTTCGATTAAAACTCCTCACATCTGTGTTGCAGTCTCATTTGTAAACCCCCACTAACTTTTTAAAATGCCCTTTGGCCCAGGAAGAGATTAAAAAGAGGAACAAATGATGACAAACCTTTCTGGGAGTTAGTAATGCTGGCAGAAATCTCCCAATAAAATACGGTTTCCTGAAAATGCTGAGGTAAAAGAAATTGCTAGGGAGTGAATGATCGTGACAACACAATTATACAGGCAAACAGTAGTATAACGTATCTATATTTCTGGGATTAAAAACAGAGTAAAAGGGGACAAATGTCTTAGTTCCTGAAAGAATCCTTTACCTTGCTTCCATAACAGTGCTGGGGACTTTGCCTGATTTCTCATACGATTCAAGAACTTTTTCAACATCTGCAGAGGCTTGTTCAACTTGCTGTGGAAAAAAAAACCTACACTTTTAATTAATTTTAATGTAAAATGAAAACAGCATATGTTGTACGAATAACAGATAGATTGAGAAAATAACTAACTAGCAAGAAATGAACCACATAGAGCTGAAATCAAAAATTAGATGACATTAAAAATTAGCAGGGCAGTTTGCAATAACCATTCTTTTCCCGTGCTTTTTTTGCAGATACCTTTGTATGATCACTTTTTACATCCATTCCGGATGTCCCCGAACTGTCGCCATACATTGCCATCAATTCCACTGGTTCCTGTTGAAAGTTACACACATTTATACATAGCATTTCAACCTGAATATTTTGCAATTTCTTGTTACTCATAGATTTGAGGAGACAATGCAGAATAACAATCTTCATATCATTTTTGTGCAAGTCCTAATTTTGCTATTAATCTTTACCCCTAAAACAGAGTGAGGTAATTGTTTAGTTGAAACCTTGCAAGTGAACTTTAAAAACAGCAAATCAGTATCAAGAGCTGTGATGGACAAATCTAATCTGAAAGTCACTAAGGCTACCTCCACTGGTCTCTTAATTTATTGTAAAGCCATCATGCAGCTAGACATCAAATTTCCAGATGCCCTCATACCTGTAAGTCCATAAGTCTTGTCTTGGCCAAAGACACATAGTCAGTGACATGTTCACGCAGCTTGCTAGGCACTAGAGGGGCCTTGATGATATGAACCTGAGATTGGACAGTCAGATGAAATGGAACAAAACAAGAAAACTCAGGTCTGGGTGTGAACAAATTTCATAGATTCAAATGACACAGAGACAATAATATCAACCTTTTCTTTTTGGACAAAGCTATTTTCAAAGACCTCAGGAATAATACACTACATGTGATCAATGTTTTTCGACCTGTCAACTTTGATAATGAAAAGCTTTCAATGCCTCTTGTGATTAATTTCCTTACAATAACAATCATTTCTTTACCTACTTGTTGTTAAAAATAGCACAAAGAAAAATTGTTGCCACCAAAATTTGCTAACAGTTACCTTCAAATACTCAGCTGGTTCATATGGCACAAGGTCTGAGAGAAACTTCACAAAAAGCTGCACACTCCTTTTGTTGTTTAATTTTGTACTCCCTTGATCACCAAACATATTCTGCAACCAACAAACAGGGCAGATTTTGCGATGGCTATAAGGAACTAAACTAACTAAGATAACAAATGTATCTCCTACTTGCCTGTTACTACAACTTAGACAAGCTCTGATACTCCAGACAAAGCAGTAAAACTGCCTACAGCCTTATACATGTATATCTAACCTAATCTAAAGCAAGGAAAAATACTATACAAACAGTGATCCCATTTGGACCATGCAATGCTCCAACTACTTTTTGGCACTTGCCAGGATATCTATGTCAAAGAAAGAGTAGGTAAAATCTTCATGTGAGCCAAGTGGCCAATCAGACCGGAGCTTATCCGGGTTTTTGTAGCATGAAGTGACTAGAGGTATTCCTACTCCCCCTGGATGGGATGCTATCCATTGCAGGGTTACCCCCAGCATAAAGTTTGCCGGTACCCATTTATACACCTGGGTGGAGAGAGGCACTGTGAGAGTAAAGTGTCTTGGCCAAGAACGCAACACAATGTTCCCGACCAGGGCTCAAACCCCCACCACTCAATCTGGACACAAGCACACTAACCATGAGGCCACCACGCCTCTCCAAATAAAGAGTACACTGGCAAAAAATAGTTAACTTTGGGATACCTAAATAAATTTCGAGCATAATATCTACACAAATCACACTTACTTGGAACCAAGTTATATATGGCTGAGAAACATGTCCTCCTTGAANATTGATGATGGGTGAGCAGAGAGAAATGAGTCCACCAGACACACCTTCAACAGTATGATTGTGTTGCAGGCAGCTAGAACATGAATATTGCACAAAGACCGTCATTAGGAAGCTAATATCAATTTATACAGCCACAAATACAACTGTAGTCTACAACCATCCTATTATGTTCGCCGATCTTGCTCCAGGCAGGCTCTTAGTGTTACAACTTACCGCTTTTTCATGATTTCATGATTCTAAGCCTGAAGGTATATGATATCTCAATATCCCTCACAGTCCAGGCTCTCCACAACAGCCACCTTTGGGACAGAGAAAAGTGGCCATTGTAGAGAGGTGGCCATTATGAGGAGGTACGGGTGTAATGAGACCTTTTACAATAAAAAATAGGGTTTTGTGTACACCGTTGTCAGTCTCTGATTGACTGGCCATTGTTGAGAAGTTATTTTCAATTGGCAGTTGGGATGAGCTTTAGAGGCCGTTACCATTGTGGAGAGGTGGCTGTTGTAGAGAGGTCAAAATAGGAGTGAATGTATGGACTGTTGGCCGAGAGCAAAAAAATTGGTCTTATTTAATAGCCGGCTGTTGTACAGAGATGGCTGTTTGGACATTTGACTGTATTTCCAAAAGAGCTCCCTCTCATCCTTTTTGGTAACTTTCTTAGTTTGTAACAGTCTTATTTGGTACCTCAGTGCCCCATTTGGTACACAACAGTTGTTAAGGGTACAGTCACATGGTATGAATCTTTCTGTTATCTAGAGCTACCTAGACACATTTGTACTATCTGCTGCTTACCAAGCCAAGTAAGTGTTGAAAGAAACTATGCAATTTTTATGAAGCATCCAAACAACTTCCAAAGGAAGATGGGGACCCTAAAGCAAAGGAAAATTGAAACTAAGGTCACAAAACACGAGAATGAAGGGCTATATATAAATATAAAACTATTGTAAATGTTTCTAAGGCAAATGTAGATGTAGCAAACAGGTGCTTTAAAACTCGAGTAATTATGGTTTTGCAGTTTCTATTACCATTTAGTAGTGGACTGTTCACAGTTTCTATTCAAAATGCTTAAAGAATATGAAAGAACTGTGTGCAAAGTCAGTGAGTGTGGAGGGGGAGCACCAAGCACCTCCACCACTTCCTCATGAACTTCAAAAATCAGAAAAAAGAGCCAGAAAGTCAAAAGGAATTAGCCATTCCAATTTCTGTAGAAATGGTTGACTTGTTCCTCTTCAATTTGTTTGTGAAATTATTTGGTGGGACATAAACAAAGTCTTGTCAGTACCAGCAGATATCACTCCATGAGAATATTTTGAAATTTGGCACCCAAAACATATTTCATTGAATCACAAACATTATTAGCTTGTCTGACCAGTTGATTCAAGAACAACAGATCGTCCAAATGAAACACAGCTGAAATAACCAGT